CATTACTTTATCAATCTTTTCTATTAATAGTCTCTGTTAGTGTTAAATAATAAAGAGAATTAGACAAAAATAAGCTATTATAAGTATTTTTTAATATTTATTTACTTACTATTTGAAAGTAATAGAGAGAGAGAGAGCAAGGTATAGACATGAGGAGAAAGAAAAATCTTCCATCCACTGGTTCACTCCCCAAATGGTTGCAATGGCCAGGGCTGGGTCAGTGCAAAGCCAGGAGCCAGGAGCTTCATTCAGTCTTCCACATCGGTGCAGCGACCCAAACACTTGGGCCATCTTCTGCTGCTTTCCCAGGTACATTAGCAGGGAGCTGGATAGGAAGTGGAGCTGACAGGACTCAAACAGGCACCTGTATGGTATGCCAGCATTGCAGATTAAACTGCTACGCCACAGTGCCGGCCCCAAGTATTTTAAGTATTACAGCTCTCTGTCTTGCTAAAAGAAATTAAGGATCCAATGTTTAGGAACAGCAGGTGAAGGCAGTGTCTGCAATGCTGGCATCCCATATGGGTGCTGGTTCACATCCCAGCTGTTCCACTGCTAATGGCCTGGGAAAAGCAGTGGGAGATGGCCCAAGTGCTTGGGCTCCTGCCACCCATGTGGGAGACCTGGATGAATCTCCAGGCATCATGCTGGCTCAGCCCTGTCGATTGCAATCACCTGCAGGGGGAATCAGTTGATGGAAGACTTCCCTCTGTTTCTCCCTGGCTCTCTGCAACTCTTTCAAATCAACAAACAAATCTTTAAAAAAAAATTTGAAAAAGGAGCCGGCTCTGTGGTACAGCAGATTAACGCCCTGACCTGAAGCACCAGCATCCCATAACGGCACCAGTTCGATCTGACTGCTCCACTTCCAATCCAGCTCTCTGCTATGGCCTGGGAAAGCACTAGAAGATGGCCCAAATCCTTGGGCCCCTGCACCCGCATGAGAGACCCGGAAGAAGCTCCTGGCTCCTGGCTTCAGATCGGCACAGCTCTGGCCGTTGTGGCCAATTGCGGAGTGAACCAGCAGATGGAAGACCTCTCTCTCTCCATCTTTCTGACTCTCCTCTCTCTGTGTAACTCTGACTTTTAAATAAATAAATAAATCTTTAAAAAAAAGGGAAAAGATTGAACATCTTGTGAAGTCTTTTGAAATAAACAAATAAAGTGCTATGATATAAGGCTGTTAAAAAGCTGTATAAAATAGAGGTTGGAAATAACCACGTTGAAAATGAACACCACTCTACAATTCAGTGGACAATACTTAAGTGTTTGTTCACTGAGGATGCAGATAAAAATGGTTTAAGAAATGTACTGGGGAGACGGGGCAGATTTCCTCCCATGGGTGTTCTTGGATACAAAGAATTAGGTGGCTTCTCTTAGATTAAGTAGATTTTTAATTTTCAGTTTCTAAGATACAAAACTAATAAGGCTGCTGCTGGAAACGTCTTCACACACACACACAATTATTAAAATAAGAGCCATATTGTATAAGAGAGGTGGGTGGAATGACAAGGAAACCAGGCTTTCTGCCAGCATTTCTTAGACAGGATAGAGAGCTCTTGAAATATTCATGAAATTCTTTTTATTCAAGCAATTGGAACACATTCTAAAACATGTAAACAGGATTCTTTCACAATGAGCCTTGACTTTTCCAAATGAGGATCTGCAAGTTGTAACACAAAATGCAAAGATAACACACACTCTGGTCGTCTTGGGCTGTTTGCTCACATCAGCTGACCACAAGCCAGCTCCCACACTGTCCTTCCATATAAACACCAGGGTGAGTTCTTGTTACCCACAAGCCCCCAGAATCATGAGTCAGCATTTTGTTCCATTGCTGTGCGTGATACACAAGGAAGAGCCAAGCCCGTGGCACATGCCCCTACAGAAGTCCCACCCTAGACCACATCCTGTCCTTTGTGGTACTTGACACAATCACACCTTGGTACATATGCGGTTATTCACATAACGCCCGCCTATCAATCTACGCTGTAATTCTGTGAGGATCAGTCCTGGGTCCGACTGTGCTTTCCATTAGGTACCAACGTCTTGCATAGTTGTTCACCTACAGTCATCGCTCTGTTAAGTGTTTGTTGACTACATGAATCATTCTTAATGAAGTGGGAAAATCTGATCCCACAAAGAATGGCCCCTTAATGACTTTTATGAAATTTGTAAAGTGTCATGAAAGAGGGATTGCCCCCGTTTTTGATAGAACCATATGGGGAGTGAATCATGTTATCATACAAGAAGAATTATAAGAAAATCTAGTGAGATAATGACAGCAGTCTAATAAAAGGCATTAGAGTTTTGAAGAAGGCAAAGATAAGGAAAGGCATCTAGGGAGAATTTTACAGATTTTATAAATGAGTTAATGGGCTGTGAGCCATTGATTAAGCCCAGCCAAGAGACGAGGTACTAAGAATTGTTTTACAGACATCGGACAGTATCGTGTGGTTGCCACTCAGTTCCAAAGATACTGTTCTAACTGATAAAGTGCATTTCATTAAAATTAAGAACTGATGTTTAAGAAAAGAGAGTGTCAACAAAGTGAAATGGTGTAACAAAATAGGAAGAACGCCTTATAGTTCATGTAATTTGTTAAAAGGACTAATATGTGGACAGCATAAATGAATACTACAAATCAATAAGAAAAAGAAAAAGCAATTGATAAATGGATATGATACCAAAACAGATAGTTTACACGCATAGACACACACACACACACATACACTGAAATCTTATTGTGATCAATAGCATTAGCTATGCAGGGAAAGTATCCATAAGAATAAAGTTCAAAACAAAACAAAAATAGAAAGTGCTGGTGAGGATGCAGAGCAACCAACTCCTCATATGTTTCCTTGGAAACTTATCTGAACTTATGCATATCCTGTGGGTCGACAGTGCTACTCCAAGGTGCACACCTAATGCAAATGAGGGCACATGTACAAAACCAATGTGCGATAAACTTCATAGTGGCATTGTTAGTACTAACCTCAAACTGAATACAACACAAAAGCCCACTAACAGGCTGGTTATAAAATTATGATGTGTCACGAAACAGATACTATACAGGAATGAAAAAGAAGGGGCTTTTGCTATATGTCATAATGTCAAATAATTTCATAAACATAAAATAGAACAAAGATGTGAAGCGGGTCACGCAGAATATGTACTCTAAAGCTATAAAAGAGTTGAAAATATTCAGTTAGAAATCAGGCTAGGCTAGCTGCTACCTGTACATTGGAGGGCCTGAAGGAAGGGATAATGGTGAGCTTTTGGTGAGTTGTTAGTGGTTTTTCTTTTTCTTTTAAATCTAGGTAGCAGCTACGCAAAGTTTTTCACATTAGGAAGATCTATACCCACGTTTCTCCACATTTCTTTGGGTTTATTATAGGTCATTAAAAATTTATGTTAAACAAATATGTTAGATCTACCGCAGATGCTGTTAAGTCATGTTTCCCTGGGTATGTTCCACAGATGAACTGTGAGAGACAAGTAAGGACAAACAAGCTGGGAAAATCATGTTGCTAACCTGCTTGTGGGTTGTTCAGACCAGCCTTTTCACACCATTGGATCGCATTGGATCTTCAATAACAATGATTCACATTTCTCAGAGTTTACTGTTCCCTGGAAGACACTTAGGAAAACAGCCAGAGGTGCACCAGAGTAGGTGAGGCTACGCTAACAACAGGTGAGCCAGGAGCTAGAGCCAGAACCTTCAGTGAAGTAGCAGTCGGTGGAGGTGACTTGCAGTCCAACTCTAAGTACCATAGGGACAGGGCAGCTCAGCAGAAGAAATCGCAAGAAAACTCTCTGGGTCTTTAGCTGATGCTCCATAGCCCACTGATGAACGAGGGGGCCTCAGTGGTCCAGAGCACCTCCACCAAGAAACTCAAACACCCACCAATGCACCCACCCTGTGCCTGATTTGGATTCTTTACATTAGAACGTGAGAGAAGCGAAGACCTTCATATAAGAACTACAAAACACCCTAGGGAGAAATGCAAATAAAAGGCAAAATCATTTCCACGGTTTCATCATCCTTGGAGATGTTTCCAGCAGTAGCAGACATAAAATAATTGCAACAAGATCATATTGTGAACTGTGAACCCTTAAAGGGTCATCGTGACAATATTGGGCAATTGTACTGTGATCCAGTTCTGCCTATTACTAGCTTGATGCTTTTAGAGAAGTTGCAGAAATGTACATTGCCTCAATGTTCCCATTTGCAAAGTGAAGATGATAAAACCCACCCACTTGGGTGCAGTAAGTATTGCCTTAATTAATACACACAAAATGCTCACAGCAGAACCTGTTGTGTAGTAAGCACTCAATGCATGCATTAGCCATTGGAGGGCAAACTTTAATGGACTTAGGAATTTTATGAAAGAGCAAACATGACAGCCCATGAACCATCTAAGTTGTGAACAGAGACAAAATAATTGACTGGACCCAGGGCCTGATATGGTACAGTGACTCATAGGCTATTGAGTTTCCAGACTGTAGGCTCTACATAATGGCAGTTGTCTGTGCATTCTTGTCAAAGAGGAAACTGGCATTGTCAACCCATGTTGGCAGCAGCTACAGAAGACCTCCCACAGGGAAGACACGAACCAGGGTTGTTGGAAGTAGAGATAGGCGTCTTCCTTCTATCCCCACAGAATTAGGAACGGCCCCTGTAGCCTACACGGAAGATGATGATGTGCTGCTGTGGGCTGCAGACTACAACCAAGGAGCCCTCATTTCTTCCCCCCCAGTTATATTTCCTGTAGCACAACTTCCTGAGGAGCCTCCGTGGACCCCTCATGGCATTTTCCCAAGTATCTTCTAAGAAATCCTTGCCCTTTTTGCCCTCAGCCTCCACCTCGATCCTTACCCCCACTGGCAAAGACTTCAAAGTCTCCTTGGTTTAGCAAAAAAATCTGCCTTTATGTGTAGGGCTGAGTCTACAACACTGAGGTGTGTCTTGAACACAACCTGCCCAAGAGAAAACTTACCTAATTTTGTTTCAATTGTCAGAAGATTCCTAGCACCGTTCCCAAACTGTTGGCTGTCTTGACAAAGCCTTCTTGCCAAAGGGAGGAACTAATGGCAACTTCAGGGTGCAAAGGCGAGACATTCCGGAATGTTCTCATCTTGCGTTTAGTGGTGACTCTAAGGGATCTGTCTCCACCGAGATTCCAAGGCTTTTGGAGCACCTTCCCTTCATGGTCCCCACTCCCAGAAGGGCCCCAGAACGGGTCCACCTCCTGTGGAGTGGCCTTGGCTCTAGGAATACTGTCTGCTGGTGGCTACAGTATCTGTTGTTGAACTTCTGGAATGCTTCACAGTCCCACGTGTATCCTTAGAGCCCCTCTCCTGTATCCGTTACCCTGTTAGGGTCCTGAGAATGCTATGAGTGGTTATCAATGTCTTTAACAGCGACAAAAAGTTTGTGTACCATAACAGCTGTTGTCATCCTCACTGGGGACAATTGGAGCTGTTGGAAGGGTCCAAGTCATTCAAAAGACAAAGCAGATTTAGACAGATCAGGCATTCTGGAAAAAAAAAAAAACACCTGCATTTACATTTATATACATTTAGGGGTTGACTATTTCCCTTGATGAAATTAAACAGTTTCACAATAGATTCCACCCTACTTTGTCCTGTGCAGTCAGAGCCTCATCTCATTTCAAATAATGGCTTTTCCCAAAGGAAGTGTCTCCTTTCAGGATATCGTAATAAGCTAATGGACTGAGTGATCAATGTTGTGTGCGGTGGAACATTAGAAATGTGCCATAAAATATGGAAAACAATTTAGCCACTCTCTAATGCAGGCAATTCTTGTGAAAACGAGACACGAAAAACATGTACCCGGCCATTTTTTCATGCCTCGTGACAAGATTAGATGCAATAAAAACCTTGTCTTGGCAAATCAGTGTGTTGGAGGATGCTGTCAGAAATAACTTTGCAAAGACATGTCCATTACCAAAGTGGGGCATTATCCTAAATTTACTCTCAGTGAAGATTGATGGCTGCTATAAGCCACCATCTGTCTCTGCATCCTATGGCATTACTGGGCTGTCACGCTGTGCACTGGGTGCGGTTGGTGGCTTCTGGTTTTCTTTCCACTTGTCCTTTTCCCATCTGAGGATGGACAAGCAATTGTCAGAACAAAAGGATAAAGTAAGACTGACCTCGCAGCGTGCAAGTATCAAGCCCGGACTTTTTTTTTTTTTTTCATTAGGGAATATGAAGAATGCCTCAAATCCATTTTTTGCATGTGATTACCTCACAGTGGATTAGCCTAGTGGATTATCAGCTATTCTGTGGCCAGAAAGCATATTGCAGCACATCTGGCCAGTTACACAAATTTTCCAAACTAAACAATGCAGTGACATTTTAGGTAAGTGAATAAGGATTTTCTTGCTTTGAGTGTCTTTTCTTTTAGGTGTAGATGTCCTGCTTATCTACTGAGCAGAACAGTATTCTCCAACTTTTACATTTCCTCTCCATTATCAGTACTGTTGGGCTACTCATTTCCAATAAGTCTTTATGAATCGTTTATAAATTATACACACATAAGCTACCACATATATAATATTCATTACAAAATACATACACCTACATAAACCTAAAATGATGCGATACAAACACATGCATTTATTTATGTAGTTCTGGTATTTTTATCCACCTACTTGATCCCATTTTCATCTCCCAGATCTGCCATCCAGACTGCCAGGTTAGGCCCACAGCAGGCAGAGCATGCTGGGAGTTCAGTTTCGAGGGGCAGACATTGGGCACAGCAGTTAAGATACTACTCGGGACATCCGCACCTCATATTGCTCTGCCTGGGTTCAAGTCTCGGCTGCACTTCTGATCTGAGCTTCCTGCTAATGCGCACATCAGGACGGCAGCCGTTAGAAGTCAAGTGCCTGGGTCTGTGAGAGATCTAGTCCAGCCTCCTGGCTCCTGGCTTCTGCCAGGCAGAGCCTTGGCTATGGCAGCCATTTTAGTAGTGGTCTCTCTGCCAGTTTCTCTGTCTCTCAGATAAATAAAATAAACACATACTGTTTTTATGTTGAGTTTTGATACACAGTTTCTAATTAAATCTTATCTGTTAGAGGTAGGGTTGCCAGATAAAATATAGAACATCCAGTTAAATATTAATCTACTTAGACTAAAATGTATTTATTATTTACCTGAAATTTAAACTTGATTGAACATCCCGAGTTATTTATTTTCCTATTTCTTAAATAAATTTACCAACTCCAGCTTACGCCCAACTCCTCCACCAAGTCTGCAATTGCCATCTCTTACTACAACACTGACAGGTATAAAATCATGTATTTTCCTATGATTTCCTTAAACTCCATTGTCTGCAGAGGTTCCCTGTTTCCAGGCTCATCCTAGCTACTACCCGTGTAAATAGGACATAACAAAGCAAGTCTCTGTATATCATTAAATTGATGATGTTCACGTACAGGGGGTGTTGACTGGATTGGTTTATTCATCCATCATGTGTTCAAGGCCTAATATGTTGTAGGCACTGAGCCAGCACTTGTGGTATCTAGAAAGTGCAGGATATACTTCTACTTCCTTCTGAGTAAATGCCAGCATCCTGCACGGCAAACTCTCCATGCCTTTTTTTCTTTTTTTATTTGACAGGTAGAGATAGAGACAGAGAGAAAGGTCTTCCTTCCATTGGTTCACCCCCCAAATGGCTGCCACGGCCGGCATGGCGGGCACTGCACCGATCCAAAGCCAGGAGCCAGGTGCCTCCTCCTGGTCTCCCACACGGGTGCACGCGCTCAAGCACTTGGGCCATCCTCCACTGCCCTCCCGGGCCACAGAAGAGAGCTGGACTGGAAGAGGAGCAGCCGGGACTAGAACCAGGTGCCCCAACCGCAGGCGCAGGATTAGCCTAGTGACCCACAGCGCCGGCCCCTACCTCTGCTCCTCTTACCGCCCTACTACTCTCCTGAAGGCAGAGCCCACGAGGACACGAGTGTTCTGTTCTGCTCATGGCTGTACGGGGGTGGAGACCATCTGGCCCACAGGCTGCATGAGGCCTGGGATTTGGTCTGGCCCTGCCAAGGCAGCCACAGGCAGGACTCAAAATTCTTCTAGTCGATAGCAGGCTAACTTTAAGCTGATAATTTCATATGGCCCGTGCATGATGTTATAAGTACCCAGATGGCCCTTGATAAGAAAAATCCTCTCCACCCCTGCTAGAACCCTGCCTGGAAGACTTCTCTTGCAATAGTCCCCGGAACAGAGTCAATGGCTAATCAAAACCTGTTGAGTAAACGACTTCCTGTCTACTAGAGGTCAAAGGTCTTAAGGAGACTACAAAAATCAGGGGTTTACCTAACTCTGGCGTGTTGGGGACGAGAAGGCAGAAATGGTGATATTTATAGTGAACTCGAACGTTCAGTGGGGCTCAGTTATCCCCATGCCGGAAGTGGGCGGAGCCAGCCGACAGATCACCAGGGAATGCCAGTAGTGGGAGAAGATGAAGAGACTAGGGGCCAAGGAAAAGAGGGGGTCGGAAAGGCCTAGGAACAAACTGCCTGGAGAACAAACTGATCCAGAATCGGTCCAGATCTCACAGCTCTTTAAGGTAGTCGTAAGTAACAGCGATGATAGCGATCCTTTGGCATTTTATTTTATCTGTATTTCTTGTATCTCTCTCCAGATCATCTCATCCAGATAGGCGATGTCTGCTGTAGACATGAGAAACTCACAGAGTAACTTTCAAATGCATGTTAATAAGGAACGGAAGCGAGCGTCAGACACAGACATCTGTCTGCGCGATTGTCTTCATGTTGTGCTAGGTGTCTGGATTCGCACAGCACCATCCAGGTAGCTGGTTCTCATATGAGCACAGTGTGGAGCTTCTTTCTGATTTGTCTTCCACTGAGACAAGGCGAAGACCTGACTGACACTGTATAAACCACGTATGTTGCCCTACAGGCCCCTAAAGTTGTGTGCAGCTACTAAGGCATCATTTAGGATCCCAGCATAATGGCTGAAAGCTACAAAGAGAGGTCGAGTCTATAGCACTTGTACACAGCTGATGATTTTTCAACTTCCCAGAAATTCTGACCAGGGATCTTGGTCCAGGGAGGGTTTCTCGACCATTTTCTCACTGTTGCCTCTAAAGGGTTACTCCACCCTTTCCTAATCTTTCCTTCTCCCACCATCCTGCCTCTGCAATGCCACCACAGACACAGGAGTTCACAAAGAGTGTGGAAAACGCACCTTGAAGAAATGTTTATTTTGGTGCAGAAAATATTGGGATTTATACAGTCTTTTTTATAACATATATTTTCCATGAACTTTTTAAAGACCTCTCATACAACCGATTATATATTATGGACTTGAAAAGCCAAACTGTTATACCATCTAATCATTAACATCTTCTTGATCGCCTAAAACTAATGTTTGCCCCTTTGGGAGTGATATAGGCCCTGTTCAGAATGCATGATTTGGGGAAATAAAAGCATCCCGCAGCTGACTTAGGATACAATTGGCTTAGCAAGTAATTTTGTCTTAGCAAGTAATTTCAGTAATAATAAGTCCTGCTTGATGGCTATTTTCCCACTCACTTTTGGAAGGTACAGAGTCCACCCAGTTAAAACCTAACAGCACTAGCTTCACAGGCCCGCGAGAAATGCATGGTGCTTTTTGATGGTTGCATACCCTGTATTTGCACTGGAAGGTGGCACTCAAGGAGTTCCACAGATGCCATGGTAAATACACTGAACATTTATTTCCTCATCAATGGAAACCTGCATGATCCTGTCATCAGAGAGATAGATTTCCCTCCCAAGTTGGGGTCAGGGGGCCAGGCATTCATGGGATCTTAGCTATGTCACCATATGAATTAAAATGGAGTAATGAATTTGTGCTGTGTTCCACAGCTTCAAGTTAGACATGACCTTTGAATCGCATTTAACAGAGTGCAATCTTAGGTCACAGATCAGAGTTTTAAGTAACGTTCTCATCTATCAAGGGAAACTTATTTAATTCAACTTGATCTTATTTGGTGCTCAGAATTTAGGGAATTCTCGAATATTACTGAGTAACTGAAATCTATTAAAATGTAAGGATGTTAGAGTTTGGGGCACTTCATAAAACGTTAAGATGATCATATTCAAATGAATTGTATTTGTACACATTATATAATACATTCCTATGTTCACAGGGATAGCTCATCTCAGGGCCTGGAAACTCTACGAATTAGATGGCCAAAGAATGAATCACCACTGTACCAGTGGATTTCCTTATTTGAGATAACTGTGAGATATTCTGCAAAGGGAAGGATTTTATATCATGAATAATTCTCTTTATTGATTTCTCAAATCTGTGCTTTGTGATACTTTTTCTGTAGAGTGAAGTTGAGCTTCACATTTCTCCAGTTCTTTCCTAATTCTTTTGCTCCCCTCTTTGCTTCCTGTATTATTAAGAAGGAAGAAGGGGCCAGGGAATGAGTTTTCACAATATTCCTTGGCATGAATTTAAATTTGTTATATTATTCAGAATTACATATCCT